GTCTTTAAAATGTATAGTATTTATTTTTAGGGCTAACGGGTTAGGCCATAAAAATAAAGTTAACCTGTCATAAAAACAGTGGAAGTTCATACAATGTCCTCATAAAGACACCTTAACAGGAAATGTACTCACTATAGAAACAAACGTGTGTGTGTGTGTGTGGCACCTGTCAGTTCTGACCCCATAATGCTGGTGTTGCAATGACAAAGCAAAGGGCACGGATGGCTGTAAATCCTTTTCCTTAAACGAACACAAACTCACACACACACTGTGAATAGATCTGCAAGTGGCCCTAAATATGTGAAGAATCAACAACCTCCTGACAAAAGAGGAATCAGTAAAGCTTCATGGAGGCGACAGTAAGAAAAGCGGTTGTGCACGTTGATATATGTGCGGTTGTGTGAGTTCTCTTCAGCTCATTAGGGTCTCCCGCTGTTTATTTGAATGAACTCGGCCTCTGCGGGTTGTTTTTCAGCAGGGTGACAGCTGATGCATGTTCTATGTTTCAAGGGTAGAGATCAGGGTTAAAGGTCATGACCAGGTTAGGATTTTAGTCTTCCACCATGAGGGGAGGTTTCTTTTTGTGGCCAGAGTGACAAAAAAGTGAGTGATTAAAAAAAACTATGTTTGTCTCACACATGTGAGAGTACAGAATCATCTCACACCTGCTCAAAGACTTTGAGCTGCAGACATAGAACCTGAGGTTAAGAGCGTCACATAAAAAAAAATACTGGATCCGCATCAATGAGTTGAATAAACACATTCACCTCAGTCTGGAGAGAGTTCTTGTCTATCACGCTAACGGCTCTTGGTTTCTTGAAGGAACACTCCACTTTTTTTAAAAAATAGGCTCATTTTACATTTCTGCAAGAGTTAAACAGCTGAGTTTTACCATTTTAAATTCATTCAGTCAATCTCTGGGTCTGGCAGAAGCACTTTTAGCTTAGTTTAGCATAACTCATCAAATCAAATTAAAATACTAGTTTTTTGCTCAGAAATGTAAAAAAAAGGTTTTGATCACTTTACTATGTACTCAAACCTATGGAAAATGAAAAGTAGCTTTTTTTCAAGGTCAATATGGAACTATACTCTTATTTTAACATAATAATCAAGGAACTTTGCTGGGGCACTGATAATACATTGTGCTGTAGTAACTAGATGGGGACTATTTTCAGGTGCTGCATAATATTGTGCCTGTCGCAGCCATGGTATGGCACCAAAGTCCCTTGCTTATTATGCCAGAGTACAATTCCTAGGCATTTCAGCTTATATAGTAACTTTCCATCAGTCTTAGTACACAATGTACCTATCAATCTTTAAATAGGGAAATTATTGAAACTGTTTTTTTTTTTTTTTTTTTAGGTTTTTGAGAAAGATGCTAATGGTCTAATCAATTGGATGATATATGCTAAGATAAGCTAAAAATGCTAGCTCCAGAGTCCAGACCAAGAGATCAGCTGAATGAATTAAAATGGTAAAACTCAACTGTTTAACTCTAGGGAACTTGTGAAATGGGGTATATGCTCACAGATTTTCAATTTCAGTCAGCCAGCCTCAGCGCTGTTAAAAAAATTGCCACATTTAAGATTCGATTTCTTTAAAAATCAGCGCTCTTCACTGCCTGTTAGATATACAATATGAAGTGGATCTCAGACCGCATTAGCATCAGCAGCATTAGCCTGCTGGTACTGAGCACAAGCGGTTACAAACTCTTTTATTTTGTTTTAGGCCTGAACAACTAAATGAATGCTTAAGTCTATTTAACTGAACGTATTGTAATTACATTACATCATCCATGCTGTAAAAACAACTTTGTTAAATTTAAAATAGTCACATAAAGCTTTTACAGGAAGTTTATCATTGGCTGAAAAACACTGGCTGCATAGCCCATTAGCCTCTTTAAAAAACTGTAGTATTCCTTTAACAGCTAATCATACCATCAGTTTCCATTTTGTCCTAAAAGAGGCTTAGTAAGAGTTAAGACAGCCCTGAACACTGCTATGATGTTTATTTGTCCCAGCCACAGTTAATTATTCGGTTAAACACATCCAGACTTTTTTACTAAAGGCAAAATCATTAATTTCAGTCAAACGTGCTGTTGCCTTCATCCACTCACACAAACAAATAATCCAGCACACAGAGCACAGAGACAAATGCTTTCTGAATGCTAATGCTGTCACAGATCTGTGTTTATACTGGGTGTAAAGCTTTCAAAAATGCAAACTGAGCAGACCTGAGGGAGATCTGCTGTTTCTAGGTTCTTGCTTTTCTAACTTTGACTTTTTTTAAAGATAGAGATATGAATGGTCATGTTGACAGAAAAGGACCAGGAGTTTTACATGCAAAACAGTTTTATGTGTAAACTGAGATGCACAAAGCTTTCCCTGAGTATTTTCACTGTGTAAAGGGACCCTTTTGATAATTTCCAAAGGTAAAATATGTATTCATGGCGTGGGAAAAAAAAACTCTGTAGAACAAGAGACTTTAGGGTGGGAAAGTGTTTTTAAGGTAAGTTGCTCATTTTATAGGATTGTAAGGCTTTTTGATTGCAGGACTATTTCTGTTTAAGTATATTTATACAGTTGAAGTCAGAATTATTAGCGCCCCTGAATTATTGACCCCCATGTTTATTTTTTTCCACAATTTCCGTTTAACGAAGAGCAGATTTTTTCAACACATTTCTAAACATAATAGTTTTACTAAACTAATTTCTAATAACTTATTTATTTTATCTTTGCCGTGATGACACTTCTATACAGCTTAAAGTGACATTTAAAGGCTTAACTAGGTTAATTAGGTTATCGAGGCAGGAGAGGGTAATTAGGCAAGTTATTGTTATCAAAAAAAGCTCAAAAGAGCTAATAATAAAAATAAAAACTGCTTTTAATTTAGCCAAAATAAAACAAATAAATCTTTCTCCAGAAGAAAAAATATTATCAGACATACTGTGAAAATGTTCTTGCTCTGTTTAACATCATCTGGGAAATATTTAAAAAGTAAAAAAAAAAATCATATACTACCGGTCAAAAGTTTGGGGTCAGTTTTTTTCCTTTTCTTTTTTTTTTTTTTAAAGAAAATTATTCTGTTCATCAAGGCACCCTTTATTAAATGTAAAAAAAAAGGTTACATTGTTAAATATTTATTAAAATGTGTAAATAACTGCCCTCTTGTTGTATGTCACTTCAAATTAAATTATTACACCAGACATAATTGTTTTATATTACTATTACCAATACCATCAATATTAATAAGAATAAATAATAATAACAATATGGATATACAAATTAGAGTGATTTCTGAAGGTTCAAACACATGTGCCATAGGTGAATTGGGTAAGCTTAATTGGCTCTAGTGTATGTGTGTGAATGAGTGTGTATGGGTGTTTCCCAGTTCTGGCTTGTAGCTGGAAGAGCATCCTGTGTAAAACATATGCTGGATAAGTTAGCAGTAGTGATGACAACTGATGAATAAAGGGATTAAGCCAAAAGAAAATTAGTGAATTAATTAATATATAAAGATAAGGCATTTGTTTTATATAAAGCGATGTAGTAATAATAATAATATTAATAATTAAATATTTTTAATTAATAAATAATCTTGTTTACATGCTCACAACAAGGGCAGGGTGCACTGGTGAACTTACATTAGACACTTTAGATGAGAATTCTAATATGTTTAATGATATTTAAAATTTTCAGGTGAAGAATTTAGTTTAGGGAGAGCTAACTTTCTAAACGGTTCATTGGCATCTTTAATTTCTTATATGGTAATAGAATATAAAAATACATTTTGAGATCACAAACTGCAAAAGAAGGCTTTTTCTATTATTTATTTACATTTTTTATTTTGTTTTAAGCCATGTGATAATAATTAGTATTAGATATTTAATTCAATCCAAAACTAGATTAAAAACCTTTTTAGTAAATACACACAATATATCAAATAACAGTATGATGCATGAGTGTGCTCCATTTAGGTGAGTGGGCTTGACAAGCCACACACTCCTGTCTTAATGCACCAGACATTTCGTTAGAAACACTTTAATGCTTTACATGTTTGTTTCTATGACTGCTATTTTCATTTATAGCCCGTCTTTTTTTGCATTGATATTTAATATCTCTTCTTTAAATACACTATGAACAGCAGCTAATTGTTTTCTTTGTTCTTGTTTGTTGTCTTCATCCTGAAGCCTCTAGATATGCAACGCCATTGGTGTGATCCAAGTCCTGTGAATAGATGATGCCAACCATCTTCTAGAAGACTCTAGAAGAAGTGGAGAGCATGAGACTGATTCCTGAAAGACCCAGTGACAGACGAGTCTTCACATAGATTTTGTAGGCCAGCCTGAACTCCCACCTGTGGCCTACTCACACCTGCAGCTTCTCCACAATGGACATCCAGTGTTCTCCAGCCTCTGGCGCCTAGACTGCAGCTCTACACAAGAAGTTTGGCCAGAGGAGAAATGGTCGTGCCCAACTGACACTGGTTCTTTCAAGGTTTTTACCTTCACTTCATCAGTTGGTGAAGTTTTGTTCCTCACCACTGTCGCCACTGGCTTGCTTGGTTTGGGACTTGTGGAGCAGTGCATCGATGGATTTGCTCTTCAGTGTTTGGACTTTCAGCAGTGAAAATTAAACCACACTGAACTGAGCTACACTGAACCTAAACTCTAAAAACTGGACTGACACAGCTTCAATTTAGTAGAACTTCTATGTGAAGCTGCTTTGACACAATCTACATTGTTAATGCGCTATAGAAATAAACATGAACTGAATTGAATAAGTTGGTGGTTCATTCTGCTGTGGTGAACCCAGATGAATAAAGGGACTAAGCTGTATGAGTCGTTTTTTATCTTAAATGACATAAAAATGACTCAAAACAAAGCAACAACCTAAAAACTAAGTTTGTATGTACGCCTGTATGCATATAACCCGCCCGCGTTAAAACAACTCAACTGGTTTATCACACCTGAGTCCAAGCGGAGCAGTAGTCCAGTCCTCTGATCTCTGCTGACCTCTAGAGTGAGTCGTCGGAACTCCAGCGCAGAGGACAGACCGGATACAGAAAACAGGAACAGACGGAGGCCGAGTTGGATCTTAAATACGCTTTGAGAAATGGCGGCTGCTGAAGACACAAACAGTAACGTTACACAAAACCCCAGCGGTTCAGATGCTCCAAAACTGTCGGATTTGCTGGACAGGGGCTGGAAGCTATTTGAAGAGGTGGACACCACGAATGAGCCGAGCAGCTCCAACCCGGTGCAGGTGAAAGTCAAGCGCGCCATCATGCAGCTGGAGGAGGCGACAAGGATGGTCAACCAGCTGAACCTCTTCAGGTAACTCTCACACACACGAGAGAGAGAGAGAGAGAGAGAGAGAGAGAGAGAAAGAGAAAACACACTGACTACATCCCACGAGACAACGTTAAATATAAGCTTGTAATCACTGTAACGGTCAAATCTCTGCGAGTGACCGAGCGCTCATGCTGTTGTGGTGGGCTTTATATTCTGTCTAGTCATCTGTCGTCAGTTTAAACAGTGGATGTGTTCTGTGTTACACTAGCATACAGAAAATTGCATAACACTTAACGTATGCCATTACATGTACTGTTGTTAATACAAAACTAGACCAAGTACTACAGTATTACTCAGCTGTGTGCTCTGTTTTACACAGAAGAATTGACCGAAGACGTGGTGGTGGTCATCTTCTTTGGTTTCATTATTTATTTACACATAAGTAGGGCCAGAATTTAGCGCAAAACGTCTGTACGTTAGATTTATGCGGAGTTTGGTAGTATCATAACTAAAAACTTAATATGTGAAATAAAATTTTAACTTTTATGTAATGTTTACTATGCAATTTCAATTAAATCCACTTTAGTAAACAAAGCAAGTCTCTCATATAATAAATCTACTAAAAGACCCAATGCCAAGAGGTTGTCAATAAAAGCACTTGATTTGTTTAAGATGTCTTTCTCTTCTTCCTGCAGCCGTAATGAGGCGCTGGAGGAAATCTCTACTACAGATCTGAAGTATCTGCTGTTGCCGGCTCTGCTGGGCGCTCTCACCATGAAACAGGTGAACCCCAACAAGCGACTGGAGTACGTGCAGGCGGCCCGTGTTTACTTCATAGACTTCCTCAAGAGGTGCAAGGACTATGACATATGTAGTTTTCAGCTGCCCAAAGACTGCGAGAACACAGCAGACACTCCAACTGAGGAGCAGAGCAGTCCAGCAGTCCCAATGCCAATGTCTCAGCCAGACCTCATCGCCATGGCAACACAGAGACAAGCCAAAATTGAGAGGTGGGTTGGTAGAATTGGGTAGCATGTTTGTTTTTGACCAATAATAATAAAAAAAAAAACAGTAAAGGGAAATGTACAATTTAAATGACCTAAATACTTTTTAAGAAATAATTTAGATCATTTCTTAAAATATTTATCTAAAAATGTAAATATATTATTGTGATGCAAAAGGAACTTGAATTTAGGCATGGTTTAGATTCTGACGGTACAAAAATATCACAATTTAGGATTTCACGGTTTTGCATATATATTCTTATATATTCTTTTTAATATATTCTTTTTAAATGTCTGGGTAAAAACAACAACTTTTTCCTCTTTGAACACAAAATATTTAATTTGAAGAAAGATTTATAATATTTTGGACACTCAGGCTAAATCATTCAACTAAATCATTGACTTCTGCTGTCTTTATACATTTTAAAAACACTAATCTCTTTAAAACTTTACATTAACTTTAAGAGTAGGGATGTATGATATATCGTCGGCCATATCATTATCGGTCAATAATTATTCGAGAACATTTGGGCTGGTTTCAGCTCCTCAGTTCTTTCATTATGATTTATTTAAAATATACTTATGTAAATCTGTTAATTATTTCCCTCTTTGTTGTTTAACCTATTATGTTTATGCAACAGTCAAGTAATTGCTTAATTAGCTATGAGAAGAAAAGCAAATCATTTATTTTTGGCATGCTGATTTATGTGAATTTATGAATATAAGTCTATATAATCACCTGGAATTTTGAAATTACTGCTTTTTTTGGCTATTCAGGTTATTCAGTTCATAAGATCAGTTTACACTTTTATTAAGTTTTGAAATAAAATCAGTTGTTGACAGTATAAATATATAACATTTTCAAATACTTGTATTTATCGGCTTATAAATATCAGTTATCTGCCTCTAAATCTAAAGAGTTATCAATTATCTTTATCGGCCCAAAAACCCATATTCTTGCATCCCTATTGAAATGCCATCTCTGGATATCTTTCTTTTATTTGGATTTAAAGTAAGCATTTGCACTGTTCAACTCTATTGCATGCTGGATGTTTGTTTATAAGCGATTTGTTTTTCAGATGAAATCACTGACCAAGAGCTTTTGTTGTGGAGATACTGGTGCAAAAAAAAAAAAAAAAAACTAGATAAAATAGTCATAAAAACATGTAAAATAAAAATACAACAACTTTCATAAAGCATAGGAACGGTATAACAGAAAATATTAGAGTTTTTAAAACCTTGACTATTTCAAACCACTGTAAACCTTGATACCCGTTATCTTCTGATGCCTAGTTGAATTGTCAGCATATTGTTATTTACTTGTTAGTTGTTACATGTTCCTTCAGTAATCATTATAATATAATAATGTATAATATTCTTTTTTTTTTGTTATTTTATATTAAGAAAACCTGTAAATTTGCATCAATAAATCTGAATTGCATCTTATAAACTCAACAATTGAGAGAAAGTCAAAATTGCTTCACTTTTTTAGGTTTTTTTTTTGAGAGTAGAATTTAGGGTATAATTTGTAAGCAAATATGGGTTACTTGGGTTTAAAAAACTTATTTTTGACCAAATAAAACAGTAAAAGTGGAAAACTGCTAATTAAGTGTAGAAATTTAAATTACAGTTTTTATTTATTTAAAATGTAATATGTTCTTGTTATGCAAAACAAAGTTGAATACCTTTATTTCTGAGAGTGTATGATAACTTCATAAAAACATCACAGTATTGTGATTATTGCTCTAAAATATATTCTTTTTAAATGTCTGGGTAAAAACCTCCTTTTTCCTCACTGAACACAATATTTTTTATTTTAAGAAACATTTCAAATAGTTTGAAACCGTGAACATGCCCGGCTAAATAATTCAACTAAATCATTGACTTCTGTCTTCATTAGTTTTAAAAGCACAGATTTCCTTACAAGTTGAAAAGGCGTCTCTGGATATTGTTCTTTTCTTTGGATATAAAGGAAAGCCACTGCTCTGTTCAGGTCTATAGCAGGCTTGGTTTATAAGCAATTTTCAGATGTCTGAATCATGGACTGACCAATAGCTTTTGATGTTGAGATGCTTTCGCCCTAAAAGCGAAATAAAATAGTAAAAAAAACCTTACATATAGTGTAGGAACGATACAACAGAAAATAGTAGTGGTTTTAAAACCTTGACTATTTAAACCACATTGAACTTTAATAAAGGTTATTGCCTCATGCCTAGTTGAATTGTCAGCATCTTTACTTCTTAGTGTTACATGATCCTTCAGAAATCTTTCTAATATGCTAATTTAAACACATTTTCCTTCTTTTTTGTTATCATTTTATGTTGAGAAAACCTGTAAATTTGCCATTGTGAGAAATAAAGCTCTGAAAAAATCTGAAATGCATCTTATGTACTCAAAACAATAGTGAGAAATTCAGAATTACTGACGTTTTTTCTGGTTTTAACATTGTTGCAATGAGTTCTATGAAAAATATGAACAAATATTTAAACATGTTACATCATAAGTCTTCAATTTTATACTTTTAAGCAAAATAATATGTTTTAGGCATGAGCTGATTAATGTTTCAAGGTTTACCGTGGTCTGAAAAAGTCAAGGTTTTAAAACCGCTAATGTTTTCTGTTATACTGTTCCTAAGGTAAATGTAAGGTTTTTTTAATGTGTTATATAAATATTGTGTTTTAAATGTGTTTTTGAAACTAAAAAAGACAGCATTGATCAGTGATTTATTTGAATTATTTAGCCTGACATATTTACTGCTCCAAAATATTTTAAATGATTCCTAAAATAAAATGTATTTTGTTCAATCTGGAATTATTATCATTATTATTATTATTTTACACATTTATTTTTTTCACCCAGAACTTTTTTTCTTAATTAATTTTCTGAACTTAATTCAAGAGCAGTAATCACAATACCATGATACCGTGCTATCCAAGGTTATCATACCATCAGAAACTTATACTGGCCCATGCGTAAACTGTATAAACTATTGATTTATTTTATAGATTTAAAAATCACTAGTCGTGTAACGCTTGTGTAATGTTCATGCTTGGCATATTTACTCTGTAAGTTGTTTCCAGGTTTAAGCAGCGTAAGGACACAGAAGCCAAGTTGAGTGAGATCAAGGGACTGGTGGAATCCGGTTCTGCTGATGAAGATGTGGTGAGGGATTTTTACCTGCTGCACGTGCGCAGATGGATCACGTTAGCAATTGAGGAGATCGACTCCATCAATGTTGAGATAGAGATACTCAAACGCATGGAGCTCTTCAAGCAGGTACTTCATTCCCACAAGATATTACATTTGATTTGATGCAGTTACATAAATCTACTGTTTTTCCTGAAATGTTTTAAAGGTTAAGTATGTCGTTATTAATGCGGATTTATGGATCATTTTAAACATCCTTTATAATTTCCCCTTACACACATCATGGACTTTTGTACTAAAATACATGTTTTAAAGTAGGAATGCACTGATGTGGAAATTTAGAAGTTGCTAAATGTGTAGACTGATAAATGTATATCTTGAAGTAAATCATCTGTAGTGCATATAGTCCATAATATATCAGATATAATATATCTTACCTGTGATATTTTTATCGGGCCGATGACAAAAACATTAAAGCGACAAAAAACATTACACCCAACAAATCTGCAGCAACTGCATGACGCTACCATGTCAATATGAACCAAAATCTCTGAGGAATATTTCCAGTACCTTGTTGAATGTATGCTACAAAGGATTAAGGCAGTTCTGAAAGCAAAAGGGGGTCTGTACTAGTAAAGGGTACCTTATAAAGTGGCCGGTGAATGTATAAGCATATAATACTGATTTGGCAAAAGATATTTTGCGCATCCCATTTTAAGATCATCTTCATCCTGAGAGTAATCCTGAGATCCTGCCTGCTAGGGTAGACACACCCCAAACTCTTGCTATTGGTCGAGCAGAAAAGTGATTGACAGAATTGAGCACAACAATCTGATTGTGTTGATGTTTACACTTTTAGGGGACAAATCCATGAGCGTATCTATGGATAAAAAAAATACTTGTAGTTTTTAAATACAAAAGCCTTATGTACTTTTAATATTTACTAATGAAACTTTTTGCATTTGTTTCTTCAGAGTGCCCCCCAGCCTTCACCACCCAAAAGACCACCCATGAAGCCTTTTATCTTGACCAAGGATGCAATGCAGGCAAAGTACAGTGCATTCGTGGTGTATCTGTGAGAGTCGGTGCTCTAGCATGGGCACGTTTGCATCAGATGTTTGTTTTCTGAATGTATTGCAGAGTGTTTGGCGCAGGGTATCCCAGCCTTCCCACCATGACAGTGGACGATTGGTATGACCAGCACAGACGACAAGGATGTTTACCAGACCAGGGCATACCACGCAGCACAAGTGCTTAATACACACTTTATATATATATTTATAACCTCTTAAAACACTAGAAACAGAACTTAATTCTGAAAGGAGAACTGTGTTTTATCCACAGCAGATGGTGATGCAGAGGAGGAGGAGCGAGCTGAAAGAGAGCGGAAGGAGGAGAACGATGATGAAGAGGCACTGCAGAAGGCACGAGACTGGGATGACTGGAAGGACACGCACCGGAGAGGATATGGCAACCGCAAGAACATGGGCTGATCTGCTCTCTCGCAAACGCACACGTAAATGTCCATTCGGTTTCCACAACAAAAACTCCCAATGCTGCCAATATGTGACATGGACACAACGGAGAGTGGCACTTTAGTGGCTAGTTGGTATTTTTTTCTAAAACAAGTTCACGTATTTGACGTCCTTTTTATATGTCTCTTTATGAATCTAAAATTGTGGTGAGCTTAATGGGTTAGTACAGTCAGAAATGAACATTAGGTTATGAAATACACTCGCATTGCTCCAAACCCGTTTGCTCATCTTTGGAACCCAAATTAAGAAATGTTAGGTATAATCTGCATAGACTGTAGTGTTTCTGACTTGTTCAGAGTTTAGTGAAACACAAAAAAACATTTTCAAAACAGACCATTCAGTGGTTCAGCCAGAATACATGAATGCTTTGTGTGCTCGTAAAACCAAAATAAAGACTTTATTCAGCAGCTTCTTCTCCTCGGTGCCAGTTTACTTTCATTATATCAGTGCACTAATGTATACTCCGAGTATGTCAAAGAGACACAAAGTAAAAAGCACAGCGCTCTCATGAATGTGCACAATATACTGACCCTGAGAAGAAACTCGATGTATGTTTGATGTGCACACAAAATAATCTTGATAATATTCCAGTTGAACACATATGGTCTGTATTTTTTCTGGACTTTGAACAAGATGGGACTGTTGATGAAACAACTCTCAGATTTCTTCCAAAAAAAAAAACTAAATGATAACTAAATGTGTGTTCTGAAGATGACTCTCAAGGGTTTGGAACAACATCAGGATGAGTAATTTAAAACCGAATGTAAATTTCTGGGTGAACACCCTTTAAATGAGACTTTTCATTGCTTCATGTCACTCTTTCCTGTAAGATTAAAACGTTTGCCTTTTCATGGATGTTGTTTTGAGCAACATTTCTATAGAAGTGTTTGCTGTACAGTTAAGGGTCAGACGGACGTCTTCACCCATGTAGTTACACCGTATGTGCTGATTGATTTGGAGCTAGCTAAGACTGCATGTTCTTTAACTATTAGCAGATTCCGCTAGGCCTCGTTTTCTTGGTTTCAGATGAGCTAGAGTTATCAGAACCAGCATCAGCACTTGCATGGATCTGACCGTTTCGTTTGCTGAAGAAACTGTGTGGGAAGTTTTATGCTGAAATCTATTTATTGCATTATCTGGCAATTTCACTGTTCTTTTGGAAAAATTCTGTAAGGTCAACCTCTAGTAAACAAACACAAAAGCACCTTTCAACAGCCTTTTCTACTCACTTATTTCTCACTGTTACCTTTTGAATTATGAATTGCATTGAAATTGAATCGCAGTATACATTTTAGAGTATTTTATTAAGTAAATTCATACCAAAAAGCTAATATTAATTACACACTCTTGTGTTGTTCCAAACTCCTGAGACCTTCATTCATCTTTGGAACATATATGAAGATATTTTAGGTGAAATCATCAAATCACAGGATGTTCTTTGGAAAAAGAGTAGGGGTTTAACCCCGGCATACTGGCCAAATCTGCCCACTGGCCTCTGTCCATCATGGCCTCCTAACTATCCTCTCATGATAACTGACTCCTCTCCATCAATCAGCTGGTGTGCGGTCTTGCGCAATATGGCTGCCATCGCGTCATCCAGGTAGATGCTGCACACTGGTGGTGGATGAGGAGATTCCCCCCATTGTGTAAAGTGCTTTGTGTTCAGAAAAGTGCTATATAAATGTAAGGAATGATTATTATTATTATTATTAAATTTAAATTACTCATAAATCTTGTGACTTGAATTCATATTTTGTGACAAAGCCAACTCTTAAAGTTCACTTTTTAATTGTTTAAAATCCTCAAACTAGCGAATTGAAAACCAAATGTTTTCTTTTTTCCTAGTAATTTAAGACTTTTTATTTTTGTACAGGAAATGTAAACGTAAATATCATTAATCATAATTTACAGAAAAAAAATAAGGACAAATTGGCACTAAAGGGAATTATTTTATCAGACAACAGCTAAACACTTTACAAACCAACAAGAGCAACACAACACAATACAGCTCCCAAAAACAACGGCAAAATTGATCATCATAAGCTATTTTTCTGAGTTCTAGTATTTTAGGCTTAATTGAGGTCGTGGAAATCCAGTGCGGATATTTCCTTGTTCAGAGGATCCATAAAGCGGAGCAGGAGAATAGGGCGGATTTGGAATCTGTTAATAAAAAGCAGAGGATATATCCTTGAAGACCTTTGATCGTCCACAGTAAGCTCATTTCCTGAATCTTATCACAACACTATTTCTAAATCACTATATTGAACCATCATAATACCAGCAAGTGCTCGCTGACTTGATGGAAAAAAAACAAAGTGGAGCATCTGAATGATAACTAATCTTGTGTCATACCTGATTATCATACGTGTACGACGGGGCAGTTGATCTGTAATCACTTTGGCGGTCAGCAGAAGAGCCAAGGTCTTCATAGGGGTTTCGGTTGGCTAAATCTCTAACATAAGGGTTGCTAACAATCTGACCTCGTCCTGCACCATCACTGCAATCACATCAATAAACAACAGACACACAAACATGGAATACTAAAATTATCATCTATTGTCTTGATATAATTATATGCATATAAGCATTTTGGAAGAGAATCTTGTGAAATCAATTTAGGTTGAATTATTACCCACCTATATGGCTGTACAGGACCTCCCATTGGAGGATCGCGCATCCCACTGTATGAACAAAGTAACATTTAACAGATTCTTCATGATCCAAAACAAATATAGTCAAATTCTTCAGTCTCACAAGCAGATCTTCATGCAGCACCTTTTATTATATGCTAAATGGGCCAGATTATTGCCAGAAAGTTGTTGAATCACTGAAGAACAACAAAGAAGGATTTATTTAAAGAGTAAGTTCACACCAAAATGCTAATAATAATATTAATTACACACTCTTTAGTTCTTTTAAACTCCTTTGACCTTTATTCATCTTTGCAGCACAAATGAAGATATTTTAGATGAAATCTGGGAGCTCCCTCATCCTCTATGGACAGCGATGGTATCGACTTGTCCAGAAAAATGTCAAAACGCATGCTCAAAACAGACCGGATGCCTTCAGTGGTTCAATCGGAATGTTTATGCACAAAATACTGACACTGAAGAGAAGAAACAGTTGAATATAGTTGTTATTTTTGTTTTATGTGTGCACAAAAGTATTCATGTAGCTTGATAATATTCTGATCAAACCACTGAAGGCGTATGCTTTGTTTTGAGGACGTGTTTTTAGCATTTTTCTTTCTAACTTTAAATAACTCAAGACCATTGTTGTCTATGGAGGATGAGGGAACTGTCAGATTTCACCTTAAATATCTTCTTAATTGTGTTAAGAGTGAGTGAGTAATTAATAACAGAATTTTCATTGTTGGGTAAACTAACCCTTTACCTCCTAAATTTGTGTATGTTTACCTGTTGAGCTGACGAGGTCTTCCATCAGTCACATTGTCAGCAGATGGATGCCCAGTGTTGGATGCACTGAAGAGTGAAGAGAGCAAATCATTTAAAATTCAAATAAATATTCATTATTAATCAGAATGTGGGGTCGCCACAGCGGAATGAACCCCCAACTTATCCAGCATATGTTTTACACAGCGGATGCCTTTCCAGCTGCAACCCATCACTGGGAAACAACCATATACTCTCATTCACACACATACACTACGGACAATTTAGCCTACCCAATTCACATATACTGCATGCTTTTGGACTGGGGAAAACCGGAGCACCAGGAGGAAACCCACGCAAACACAGGACGAACATGAAAACTCCACACAGAATTGCCAACTGATCCAGCCGAAGTTCTAACCAGCGACCTTCTTGCTGTGAGGCAGCAGCGCTACCCACTGAGCCTCCTAACCGCCCAAATAAATGATAAACACCAGATAAAATGCAAGATGCATCTGTAAGGCTGAATATCAGGGACTAAGTTTCCCTCATTTATTTGTTTGAGAAAACATATATTTGATGCTTCTTTATGAAATATATTTCATACGTTTGCACAGAACAACTAAAACATATTGAAGCAATTAAGAAATATATTTAACAGAAAATTTCACCAGTCGCCACAGCGGAATGAATCGCCAACTTATCCAGCATATGTTTTACACAGCGGATGATGCCCTTACAGCGGTAACCCAACACTGGGAAACACCCATACACACTCTTTCTCTCATACACACACACACAAACACACATATACTACGGAAAATTTAGCTTACTGAATTCACCTGTACCGCATGTCTTTGGACTGTGGGGGAAACCAGAGCACTAGGAGGAAACCCAAGCAAAAATGGGAGGAAAAACTCCACACAGAAATGCCAACTGCCCCAGCCGGGGCACGAACCAGCAACCTTCTTGCTGTGAGGCGATCGTGCTACCCACTACGCCCCCGTGACACCCAAGCATAATTCACGAGAATATAAATGCTTAAAGCGACAAGCACACACAACATCAAAATACATGAGTACAATTGAGTTTGTAGTTGTAATCCACAGGTACCAATGGATAAAGTGTAATTAAACACATTTATGTGTAGATTTACACTTCATTTGCATCTGCGGAGCAGCTTATTTCCAACATTCTCTAGAATTTTTTCCTTTGTGTTAAACAGAAGAAAGAAGCTAAAACAGATTTGGAACAAGTGGAGGAAGAGTAATTATGACAGAATTGTACCTTTCAGGTTCAGAAATAATTTAGAAGAATTATTGATATTTCAGGTATTTTTTGTGCAAGTTCAGTGTCATTCTATAGATAAAGAGATGTTTAAATACAGTTGAGGTCAGAATCATTTGCTCTCCTGTTAAATTTTAATTGTTTTATATTTTCCCCCCAAATAGCTAGGTGGTTCGCCATCTCCAGGTTGGAGGAAAGTACTTACCCCAGGTGAAGGAGTTCAAGTATCTTGGGGTTTTATTCACGAGTGAGGAAAGGATGGAGTGTTACATTGACAGGTGGATCAGTGCAGTGACAGCAGTAGTAATGCGGTTGATGTACCGGTCTTTTGTGGTAAAGAAGAAGCTGAACTGAAAGGCAAAGCTCTCGATTTACCGGTCAATCTACGTTTCTACTCTCACCTATAGTCATGAGCTTTGGATCATGACCAAAAGGACAAGATCTCGGATACAAGCGGCCGAAACGAGTTTCCTTCACAGAATAGCAGGGCGCACCCTTATAGATAGGGTGAGGAGCTCTGTCACCTTGAAGGAGCTCGGAGTAGAGCCGCTGCTCCTCCACATCGAGAGAAGTCAGCTGAGGGGGCTCAGGCATCTGTTTCAGATGCCTCCTGGACTCCTATCTAGGGAGGGGTTCAGACATGTCCCACCGGGAGGAGGCCTCAGGGAAGACCCATGCTGGAGGCAGTCTCGCGGCTGGCCTGGGAATGTCTCGGGATCTCCCTAGAAGCTGGAGAAAGTGTCTGAAAAGAGGAAAGTTTGGGGTTCTCTCCTTGGACTAGTTTTAATATCTCATTTCTAACAACTGATTTATTTTATCTGTCATGATGACAGTAAATATTATTTGACTAAATATTTTTCAAGATATTTGTATTCAGCCTAAAGTGACATTAAGGCAAGTTAGGGTAATTAGGCAAGTCATTGTATAATGATGGTTTGTTCTGTAGACAATTGAAAACAATGCTAAAGGGGGCTAATAATATTGACCTTTAATTAATAAATTAAAAACTGCTGTTATTCTAGCCGAAATAAAAACAGACAAGACATTCTACAGATTAAAAAAATCTTATAGGAAATATTGTGAAAAAGTAACTCTGTTAAACATAATTTGGGAAATAATTGGAAAAAAAAAACAAATTAATCAGGAGGGCGAATAATTTTGACTTGAACTGTTTATACAGACTGCACTATGGCAGTGCTAGTTGTTGTGCTATCTAAATGTATATTAAACCTATTTGATTCTCGAACCAAAATGTTATCTATGCTATTTGATTGTTTATTTTAAATGTAACATTATTTACAACCTGTAGGGTCGAGCAGGAGCTCCCATTGACTGATCGCGCATCCCATTGGATATGCTGTAAAGACAATGAGATTCATCAGAAACATCCATCATGTACAACAAATATTAATGCAGTGAGTTTTGGTTTTAATATATGAGAGATGATGCACAGATGGCTGGTTGAAAAAGCAAATGTTCGCATTAATATATGGATCCTCAGCTAAATACATAGGCAGCAGTCATTAAATGTGCACATTGTGATTGTAAAAGATCTGCAAACAGTATTGTCTCAAAAAAGAAAGTATTGATCGAGAATTGGCTGGACCTAGTCATCTACTACAACAACAGCACATTTATTATATCTCATCTATAGACTGAGACATACTACTATAAAATAATCACAGAGAAAAACCCCTGTTTGTGATGATGTTTTGGATTAATCAGCTGCTTCAACGATGGAAACAGCAATATGAGATATGTGAAAGTAGCACACATGAACAAAGTGATATGACAGCAAACACTGCAAAATACTGCCATTGACTGAATAACTGACCTGTAGGGCTGAGCAGGACTTGTCATTGGAGGATCACGCGACATGCTGCCGAGACAAAATTGAATTCAGTTCAAATATATTTGTAAATTGCCTTTCACAATAATTATTGTTACAAAGCAGAGCACAAATCTCTCTTTTAAATTCATATTTTAATAGGAAGCTATATACCATTATATTTGTGCATATACATTAAATTAGTCAGTAGTGAAGCCAAATCTGGAGCTTATCTAACAAAATGACTAATGATAACAGTCTAAAAACTAGTACAGCCAAATTTATATGTTATAGAAAAATATTAAATACATTTAAAAAAAAAAAAAGAGGAAAAATCAAGAGAAGCAAAACAATGCAATATTTTGCTTGAATTTAATTGTATTCTTTTTCAATTTCTAAATATTTATAGTGACTTAAATCTTATTTTAATAAATATATCTGTTTAATAAATCTGTTTAGTTTAAATGTTCCAAAATACATTGTCTATATTCACAGAGAAATGGAGAAGATATTCATTTTTAAAATGGGGTGTACTCAATTATGCTGAGCACTGTACGTTTCCCAAAAAGCTGGTATCTATTCTTTTCTCTTTACTTTTTAAAGAAAAGAAATAAAAAAATAGACATAAAAAACAGAACAAAGTGGTTGTCATGTGGATTACAAAATCAAGTCAAAATACATTTGACATACATTATCACAAATTGTTTACAATGACATATTCAGACCATTTTTCCAGTACTTGTTACACTTTTTTGAATCAACTCTTAGATTAAAAGTGAGTCTCTCCATACAGTGTATTTCCTTTACAAATCATATCTATTGAGCCCTTGCTGGAGGATCAGCCTGAAACCATTCTCAAGTTAAGGCTTTTCTGCTACTTACCAAAAGAATTTGAATTAAGTATTTGTCAGTAGTTGGAATAATTTCTGGTATTTTCCAAGGTATAATGTAATAAATAGGTAGTCCAATTCTTCTCCAGTTATCTTTGTTATTTATGTTGCCATTTTATACCGTGAAAATGGTTTGCCTTTGAGGTTCCACATTGTCTCCAACAAGAGACTAAACTTTCAACACCTATGCGCAATGCTGACAGTTTATGAGTTATGAAGAACCTCTATATCTATTCTTTTCTATATTTTTCTTAGGTAGTGCAATATGATTTGTGGTGCATTCACGCATAACAACTTGTGTTACCTTTTTGAGTCCTTATGCCATGTTCAAAAGAAAGTGTCTGGTGCATATGGAGAGGAAATCATGTGTTTCCTACAGACAGTTTGTTCAGCCCACTCACAGAGATTGCACAATGTTACATAATATTTTGAATGAGGTTATCTGATCTTTACAATAATTTATATCAAAACAAAACTATTAAAAGACTACTTTTACATGTTTTTCATTGTTTTGTTGCCAAAATGCTATAAATACAATAAATTATTAAACAAATTACATTTGCATACATTCATAAACAAGAAGATGAACATAAAATGGGACTAGGATGTTTTATGCAGGGACACCCTAGATAAATAGGGCAAAACTATTTTGTTTTAATCAGTTGAAATTAGAACAATGTGTCAACAGCCAGAAAAGTAAGATATCTATATACACGGTGATTCAAAACGAATACCACAACTTTGAAAATCGAGAACTCTGCAAAGAAGAAAAGGAGAGCTATTAGCTCTTTCTGTCGTTGATTTAAAGAAGCTCTGAAGTTTCACATTGAGGAACTAAAAGAAGGAATAACTGCAGCTAACTGTAGTGTTACGCCCAGGACGCTACAGAGAGTGTAGAATGAGTTTGAGTATCGGTTTGACGTCACTCCAGTGTCTGGAGGGGGTCATATTGAACATCTATGAACTTGTTTTGTACTGAAAAAAACTTTGTTAAGTACTCTTTACATTGATTAATTACAGTTCCATTATGTTTCTTTGATTAAATAAAGTTATTTTCAAAGGTATTCTTTCTGAATCACACAGTATAGAGGAAATGATATAAATCATGTGAATAATATATGATATGATAATATATATCTATCTGTAAAAACTTTAGAAATATATATATATATATATATATATATATATATATATATATATATATATATATATATATATATATATATATATATATATATATATATATATATATATATATATAAATACAAACGTAAAGTTTAATTTAAGTGAGATTTTCTGGCTCATTGAAAATTTCTAAACATAGAAAAAATGAGGTTTCCTTGTAGAATCTTGCCTTACCAAAAGCACACCTTGGTTTTTAGCAACCCAGGATGTTATTTATTACTTTTTCACTCAATCATTTCTTTAAAGTTACAAATTAACCTTCATAGGAATTCCTCAGTCTATTAATTATAAACACCATAAAATAAAAAAAATAAACTTAGAAAAGATTGAATGTTTTCTTACTTATTTTTTAAGAGAAAAGGGTTCTGACTGGTTGCTGGTTCTTTTTAAAATAGATATATATATATATATATTTGATGACTGAATAATTGCAATTGACCTTTATTCCTTTAGAGTGGGGTTGTTTAACACATAATGATGATGTGATGTTTCACTTATAATTACCACAGGCATAAAATAAATAATGGCTTAAATAGCTTTACAACAGATCAATCAAATTTAAATCTCACTGTCACTTGAAGGTGAATAAGGTGAATAAGCTGTCAGTGATCAATACATTAATTTTGAAGAACATATTAGAAAACTATATTCATGAAAACTCTCAAATACAAGTGAAATGCTGAATTTACTGGGAAAGTGTGATGACATTGACATCTTCTCAGACTGAACTATTCCAGATCCAAGAGGAACAAAACATGCATTATTTAGATTATTAAAAGGAGTTTTATGGCATTTCATATGTGTGTTAGTGCAGGCATAATAAATATGTAGACATAATTAGTCATATATAAACGATTAAGTAATTAGACACTCAAATATGTATTAATGATTAATAAAACATTCTTTCATAGGAAGGTTTAAAAATATGATCAGAGAACAGATAAACTTCACCTATAGGGATGGATGGGCATGGCCTTCAGGGGAACCTGGTCTTGTTGTGCTGGTCTCATGTTAGGAGGAGGTCGACCCTTTAATAACAGGACAAAAGGCAAAAAATAAATAAATACATTCACATTCGAGAAAATACTGCTGATGTCTTGAAAATGTCTAATGCTCAGTTTATATTGTGCTGCTTTTATGACTTCCAAAGGTATTGCCAGTAAATCTGATTGAGATTATAGCAGTTCTGTGCTACTGATATGAATCATTAACTATTTTAACTCGGAAGGTACACATTACACTGACTTACATTCATATCAGATGCAAAAGCAATTCCAGGAAACAGGTCCTGCTCTTTGGAAGCTGCCTTCATCTGTTCACTGAACATGTATAAACAAAAAGAGACAGTGATTATTTGTTTGACGTAACACATAATGAATATAGCATCACGGCCTGTAAGTCATATATTTTAATCATACTCATAAAGTCAGATAATGCAGAAGAGGGAGATAAACATTTACCAGATGCTGTTCAAAAACAATAAAGCTACATTAAACCAAAACTTGCTTTGTTTATTATAGATGAAATGGCTGTTTATTCACTGCATCAATATGCTTTACTTGCTTAAAGTAAGTCTCGTTTCTGATCCAAATATCTAAATATTCTTAAATCAAGAAGCCTTTTCTAGACAAGATAAAAAATAGTTTTTTTTTTCAGAAACAATCTCAAAATTAGGTTTTTCCTTAAATCAAGCAAAAAATATACCAATGGAGTAACTAAAATAATCTTGATTTAAACTGAAAAAAGATTACTTATCCCATTCTATCTGAAAACAAAATAAAATGTTTTACTTGTGAAGAAAATGCTTCTTGATCTAAAGGTTCAACACACCCTGGAGTATTTATATTTTATTTTTTATATTTATATTTTATTATTTATTTATATTTTAACAGATTAGTGTGTTGAGCATCATTTAAGACAACATTAGCACCTGTTAGCTTTAATTGTGGGGAAAACTGGATAATTTTGTGCTTTTGTCAGCTAATTTCATCTTCCGAGTTTAAAACCATTTTTGGGGCGAGATGAAAATCGGTGACGCATCGCGAATCTGCCAGGCGAGTTATGACATGGCGGTTTCTCATTATTATTCATAGCTGAGTTTTCTTATACTATAAGTAGACACTGCTTCGTAATTATTCATGACTGCACGTGCTTTTTGAAGGCAAGGCACACCTGCCAAGCTATGATACCGCATCCCCGCATGGAGCGCAGTATTTAGCCGTTCATGAAGGTTCGTATGTGTTTGTTATGATCCACGTGGTTTGTTGCATGTTTTTGACCGCAATGCTGTCAGGGCTGATACAGCTAAGCTGTTGGTTTACAGAAAGAATTTTTTGTTTGGAGAGCTGTACAAGAATTGGAGAATGGCAAAATTTGTCTTTTATCAGTTGAGTTCATTACCATTCAGACACATCTATATTTGTGCTGCTATGTTCGCCTATGCTTAAAACCCTCCAGATTACCGGCAGGGCTAATGGTGGAAATAAATAAGGCAGGTGACCTGCTGCACTGCTATCCACTGTGACTGCATTCAGACCCAGGGATTGAGAAGGGGGGAAACCTCCTCATTTATAGTGCTGATATAAACACGATTATCTTTATGATGATATTTCAAATTGTGGTTATGTGTATATGAAATTACCAATAACATTTTAACTTTGTAAACTATAAAATCATGGGTCTCCTCACGGTTTGTGTTTTAAGCCAGCTGACAGTTGTTCGCTTCTCTCTTTTCCCCCTGCTCTGCTGGACAAGCCCACTCCTCCCTCTGCTCGCAGCACTTCACGCCCATCATGTAGCATTTTTAAAAACATTTTGAGACAGACTTGAACTGAAAGAGAGGGGTTTCATGGCCCTTTAAGAACTATTTGATATTTGGTCTATAGACACCAGACAAAACCCCTAAGTAGGCTAAGAAAAGCATTTTTTGCAGCGTTGGCATGGACAGGTCTATGAACAACTTTTAACATCTATATAACTTTTGCATTTGACAAAACGTTCAGTACTTTTAAAAATAGTTAAAGAACATTTCACTTGTTTAAAAATGTTCTTATAGAACATCACCCTCGTTAAAATCCCTTGTTTGGTTCTTCCTGGCATCTTTGTTTTGAAGTGACTCACCTTGTGTGGCTGTTGTTTGACTGCACCATCAGCATGTAAACAATTACCCCCACCAACACGGCGAGAGTTAGACCAGGCAGAGACGCCACCAGGGCAAAGGTCACCACTGTCCATCTCTGAGAGCAGTCATCACCGATGTAAAACTCATTTTTGTTATTGTTGCATCTATATAGAGAACCAAGGGGTGAATCTTTCAGAACAAGCTTTACACTACAGTCCAGAGTTTAACCGAAACTGCATCTAGAAATAGAAGCTGATTACCGACAAAACGGTTCTTCAGTGAAGCAGGTACATTTGCTGATTTTCTCATCACAGTCTAAATTATTATCCCCACATGGCTCAAAGTCAGCTTTACCTGCACAGGCTGACCAACACATAATCTTAGCTTAGACACAATCAGCTGATACGTCAACATTTTAACATATCCCGAAATTGATTTGAAACACACACTTACGATTTCCAGTCACCCCAGCTGTAAGAAATATGATGAAACACAAACAGAGAAAGACCTTCATCTTTTAGTTCCGTACACAACCACATAAACACACAGCTGAATTCCAGCAGTGGCACTTGCATTATAAAAGCCCTTTGCTCTTTACGCCGGTATTTAATTGGCAGTTGTTGTCACTCACACACCCAATCATGGACACGCACCACTCACTCACACACTCACACACACACACACACACACACACACACACACACACACACACACACACACACACACACACACACACACACACACACACACACACACACACACACACACACACACACACACACACACACACACACACACACACACACACACACACACACACACACACACACACACACACACACACACACACACACACACACACACACACACACACACACACACACACACACAGAGTGCATGTCAAACTCCTTAAAGTATTTCAAATAGATATTTAATTTAAAACTTCAGCTGTCATGTAGTGTCACTTGTTTAGTTTTTTTTTTAAACTGAATAATAAATCAGTTTAAAAAGTAAAATTCAAAACTATGAAATAAATGCTCTCTGCTGTTCTAGATAGCGTTTATCTACACGTCACAGTGTATAATATATTATATATATTTTTCCCTCACATATGCCATATTTAGACTAGAAATAATTTCTGCATGTGCTGGATTTATTTATGGTATGCGTTAAAGTCTTTTTTTAATGTCTGAAATCAGTGACTGAGCATGGGACAGGTGGTGCAAAAATCTGAGTTATTCCACCAAATAATAATTTCTTAACTCTTGGTTATTTCCGTAATTGGAAGTTAAAACATTGGTATTGTGCTGCCTAACATAATATTAAAAAAATGTCTAATATAGATCTTTTTGTTGTTATTTTAAAAAGTTTTCATTTTATGCAATAAATTACAGCATTTTTATCTTACATTTGGAAGGAATGTACAGTATGTTCAGAGTAATCTGTACAGAAATGTCCCCTAGTATCTTCTAGAACAAAACAAAAAAGCTGTTCAACTCAAAACTACCTATACATTGTAAATCCATTTTTAAGGCTAATCCAGATGTCACGTCACCTGACTGAAGTAAATGAAAACAGATTATTAGATACCTTATAACTAGGGCCAGACAGAATCTGCAGACATTTTTTGCTAGTTTATGCAGAATAATTTTTAGAGAATCATAACTAAAAGCTTAATATATGAAATAAAAATAATACATCTTTAACCTTTATTTAACGTTTACAATGCAAATCCAATTAGATCATCTTATTTGGTAAACAAAGCAAGTCCCCTATACAATATAACTACTACAAGAATTTAATACTTGACAAACTGCATTGTAAATAAATCATATGAACATTTTAATATTGCTATTGTTATATCACAATAGTATTAGTGGAATTAATAAAAAAACTGAATAAATATAAATGAACACATTTACACAAGTAAATAAATACACTTGATGGGCGAAAATTCTGTGGATTTCTGCACTTATTTCCTACTTATTAGTAAATATCTAATTGTATTTTTAATTTCCATAATTTTTATATATTTGTATATTAAAAATTTGAGCAGTCTGGACTAGTGGTGTAATCACCAATCAAGATTAAGTAATAAATAGATGAACAAAAAGAAAATGTTAAACATTCAGTCAAAAACTCACTATAGTACTCGTGTTGCTGATGACGTTAAAGATGTAAATCTATCATTAGAATTTGTACAACCCAAATTCACTTTTGTCTCATTTTCAATCAATGAGTCAGTTATTCTTTCATAAAACTTTTTGTTTTATTGCTAAATGATCATTTTTGAAGAATTATTCAGCAGCATATTTTTGATGGCTATTGGTTAAATAATGTAACTGCTGCCAACATCTTTCATTTGAGTCAAGTTAAATGCATATGACGGTGATTGTAAACTTTACCATAAACATCAGCGGTTATAGCTAAACTATAAACCGTTATCCCAGTACTTCTGTGTTATTTGACTGTTTGTAACTTCATTACTACCTCTAAAGACTGAATCTCTTTCTTAATTTTTTGCGTATTTTAAACAGATTTGAATGCAGCGATTTGAATTATTAATAAACATATGCAAATGACCATCATTTATACTTTGTTGCGTGGGTGTTGAAATCCTGATCATTACATGATTAATTGTGCAGCTTACACAGAATGCATTAATGCAGGCTAAACAAGTAGTGACAGAAAACACCTTTAAATGAAACCTACACCCATAATAATCCACCACAACTTCTTCCGTCATCATATTTTACAGGACAGTCTAAATGCTTTTATACATGTGATTAGAATGACTGGAGAGGCAATCTCTGTGTGATCGGTACAAATTTAGGATTAATCTACAAGTAAAAAAATATATTACTCTGCGGGCCACTTGTGTTCCAAATCTGGGTTGTGACCCATAGAAATCACAGATCAACTGTGATCCGTTACACCCCTAGTCTGGACTAATGGAAGATTGTCTCACAGTTCAGTAGTGACCAAACTCACAACATGCCCCTTTTAGATAGATAAAAATTTATTCCTCACATTATTCATCACAAAAGCAGTCAGAGTCCTTCAAACAGGCTCAATAAGTCATATAAAAATAACATGTAAAGCACAAGGACCAGAACATTACAAAATATACAGTTATGTGCAACACCAGCCTCAGCACCAGCACAGCAGCGTCTCAAGTGTTAGTTGTCAGAGTCCATGTCGCTGTCTCCTCCGACAGATCTGAATTCTTCACTGTCCTCCTCATCGTCACTGAGCTGTACCTGAGTGAGGACACTCGGGCCTCTCCTGCGCTCATCCTCTTCCTCCTCATCCTCTTCCTCCTCACTGATCCCGTAGACCTCATCTACATCTCGCTCTCCCGTCCTGGGGCTGGACACCTGCCTCTGCATCTGACTGTCTCCATCATCATAGCTGCCAAAGCTGAAACACACAGAGAGATGACAGGACATTTGTTAATAAGAAACTTTTGAGAAAACTAGACTCAAATATTGTCAGAAATGGAAAGTGATTACAATGAAAGAGCCTTATTTGAATAATACCAGCTAGGGTTGGGTATTGTTGCCAAATTATCACTTTGAAACAGTAGCGGTACCTAAATAAAGCCTGAACTATTTATTCTCTCATATGCCTTTGGCTTAGTCTCTAATTGATCAGAGGTCGCCACAGGAGAATGAACCGGCAAATTATCCAGCATATGTTTTATGCAGTGGATGCCTTTCCAACTGCAACCCAGTACTGGGAAAAAGCCTGAACCGAAACTTTAAAAACCTCCACAAAACAATGTTGAATGACATGGAAGAACTGTTTTTGTTATTGAAAAATAAATGATTTAACTGAATACATTTAACGTATATGTAAATGTAGGTTTATATAAAACCACTTATTTACATAAATTAATAAAACCTTAACTACTAATTTAATACGAATATAAAATTATATAACCATTAAACTGAGTTTCTGCAGGTTTTATGAGTGAAAACTTTAAGAACGTTTTTAGACCAACTAAGGAAAATTTAAAGGGGAAAAAAGGTAAAACAGTACCGAAATAGGCCCGCTTTATATTAAGTGTTGCTTATACCTGAGAACTTACACAGTAACTGGATGTGTAAGTAGTATGTAACTACAGTGTATGTACACACTGGTACATAGTATTTACTTGTGTAATACTGGTGTAACTACACACATGTAACAGCACACAATAGTATGTGTAACAGGACATTGGTAACAACACTAAAAAAGTACACATCTGTAGCAAGAATTACATAAGTGCATTGTGTAATAACAGTATGTACTTGCAGGTGTTTTCCCAATTCCACACCTGTTTGCATACCATGGCAGAATGGCAGAACTAACGCTGCATTAAAGGGTTTCACCTTGTGATACCAGTGTAATTACAGGGTAAAGTCTAAGGAACTGTCCACTCAATATAGTGTAAAATGGTCAAAAAAAACATTGTGTAATATATAAAACCTAAGCCTTTATGCAACTGTGTAACAACATCAAACTACTGCCAAAAAAGTATAAGTGTATTTAGAAGTATACAAACACCTTATATGTTGTCTTAAGGTGAATTGTAGAATCACATTAGTAATTCACATTATAAGGGTAGTTTACCAAAGATTGTGATATTAATGTCCTGTTACACATTTGAACTTAGACATACTATTGTGTGTTGTTACATGTGTGTAGTTACACCAGTAATACACAAGTAAAGACTATGTACCAATGTGTACATACACTGTAATTACATATAACTTACACATCTAGTTACCTTGTAAGTTCACAGGTATAAGACTACATAAACTCTGATTCATACATTTAAGTGCAGAGATAACTTAAACGTCTGTTCTATTGTATTTCTATCTCTTTGACAGTGCTGTCAACAAATGTTATAAACTCTTCATGTGCTGCCTAGACATATGTAGCGAAAAAGAGTTGACATACATATGACATACCGTATGGTGATATGAATATTTATATTAATATTGTACATGTATACCAATAGTATATACATCTATTATATTAAATAGATCAATTTATTTACATTTTCCGTTTTATCAGTGGTTTAGCAGTTTTAAAGTTTTTTACTCAAACAGGTTTATACTTGCAGAAAGATATTGAGAGCTATGTATAAAATCAACGAATAACACCTAAAGTGGTATTTATTTGAAAAAATTATATGCAAAAAAAAAAAGATCTAACTTTTAAAATTATTTTGCATAAAGTATGTATAAGGCCTCAATAACTGATTCAACCACTTGAAAGCAGAACTAACTTCTCTTTAGACCAATTGTATTTCTACCTCTATAATGGTGCTGTCAACAGACATGACATGTAGTGAAAAAGTGTTGACATATATTGATATAAATATTGATACTTGGTCACACAATTTTTTTTATCAGTTCAAATGTTCAGCAGTTTAATAGTCACAAAGTATTTTAATCTGTTGTACATGTACTTGCAACTCTGCCTTATATCGTGATGTTAAATGTGTACAATAAAAATAATTGCAGCACGACTGTAATTTACATCAATCTCTGGACAGCTTCACACACACAGA